CTGGCAGTCACAGAACCATGCAAGAATCTGTTTCCAAAACAAATGTTCAGGAGAAAATGAAGACGAATTCGTCATACTCTGAGAAGACCACTGAGTGGCATCATGTACCAGGCCGTAACTCGAATGGAACTGAAGGGAGGAATGAACACTTCAGTGACCAAGGGTTACTTGGAGGAGATCATGTGAGAAGGAGACGAAAGACTGAGGAAAATCATAAGGTCAACTTAAACAGGCTGCATAAGGAAAAGTGAAATATACTGCTGAAGCCCTATGTTGCACTTGAAACTCAAGGGAGCATTTACAATAAGTTCTCCTCATGTTATCAAACACAGGTTTATTTCCTTTCTCTCTGTCTTTAACTGATACAGTTAATGCATACAGCTTGATAATACAGGCACTAAGAATTAGAATAATTAATTATTCTGTCTGTTACCTTTAGCTCTTGATAAATTTCTCATCACCAGAACACTTTAAGAGTCTAGCTAATATGCAAAACTAATTAAAATAATTTGTCACAAAACTTTTGTGAGTAAAATTCTAAATTCTTGTTAATTTAAGCATTTTAAGTGTGATGAACATCATATATACGAGTTCAGCGAACTGTTATTCTTCCACTGGAAACTGATATACTGATTTTTTTTTAAAGAATATAAGAATCATATTTGGATAATAGAATGACAGTTTAATAAAACTCTCTTCAATAAAAAAAACTAATAAATTAAGACAAAAATTATTCATATTTCAATACTTCCCAATGAATTTATAATAGACAGGTGGCTTAAATTTCTCGAAGTTAATGAGAATCACGGTTGAGTGAATATTAATCAACTATACTTAGCTTGTTTTTTTGATTCCTGGAGTTCCAAGTGGAACATCGGACTTTAGGCTTTTATAGACTGAAGTTGATAGTCTCAAGCCGAACCTCAGAGCTTTTCCCAGCTTACTAGCAGCTAGGCGAGTTTAAGAGTGTATCGGTAGGGAATCGAACCCGGGGCTCTAGCCTCCTCAGAGATCATTCTTCCACTGAACAACAGATATGCACCGACCTTCATCATATTGGACTAACTTGTGTAATCATCCATCCTTCCTTTCGAACGTATCTGAATAGACTGTTAACATTCCATATTATTTATTTATTGGATATATCACCCAGTGAAACCCACCAAAGACAATGGTTGGGGTCGCGCTAAATCACGAATTGGTAGAAGTTAGAATTCATGAGCCATTGAATCGGGTCCCAGCGGCTGAATGTAACCAGAAGGTCCTGGGTTCGAATCCCAGTGGGTGCGTACTGCCGATGATACCCAAACTAGGATGAAACAGCAGCTGTCCAGTGCTCCCTGGTTTTCAATGGTTCTCTAACTGATATTAATCCTTGATCAACTCGTAAAAAGTATTATATACATCTAATAAACAAATTAATATGGAATGGCATGCTATTATAGTACGCAAGTATTGCACATATATTATTAGGTTGTTAACATATTGGTGATTTGTTATCCTAACGCTGTAATCGTTTAACAGTCAATGGTGACAAATGCATAAAACTAGAAATTGATAGAGATAACGAACAAGTTTAAAGTTATCGTCTGAAAAAATCACTCCAGTGTACAGTGTAGAATGACTGAAACGCTTTCAGACTCTTAAATGTAATTTTGGTTTGTTTCCTCTAACGTTGTCACATTGATTCTCAGAGAGAAAGACTGTCTGATGACCGGAAAGTATGACAAATATCAGGTTTATGCTGTGAGTATCTTATTTGTTTGCATGTTAGTCTGTGACATTAATTTCCGTATAAAGAAATGTCATATATGGCTAGAGATAGAGGAAGACATTCTCATCAATTAGAAAAATCTGGTAAGAAACTATATGACATTTAGACAGTATAAAATATCATGGTGGTCAATGAAACCAAGGTGTTTTATGGAATATAATCCTGAAGTAGTAAAAAAAATCACAACAAAATTATTCTCAAATCTTTACTTTAGAAGTTGTAGTTTTTTTAGCAAGGCTACCCTTGTTCATAAGATTAAAAGTGCTGTTTCGAAATTAAGATAATAAGAATAAGAATTCCCTTCAAATTCACAATTTGGAGTTTTCACAGTTTCAGGAGGTGAAATGTCGCCACAGTTCCCTTTCAAAACCGCAAACTATTCGCATCAGAACATGCGACCTACAATTGAGAAAGCAAGCATAGATAAATGACGCTGTCTACTACTGATTGACTGAGATGAATAGTTTCATATGACTCACATCAAACAGTAGTACTGGGTGGCTAGGCTGACTGAAGTGAGCTGAACAACTGACGGCCTAATTGATTATTTGGGATCGAGTTGATCAGCAGTGTAGTCCTTTTTATTAAACTCCGAGAATTCAATCAGTTGAAACCATCCAAATTCTGGTTAGTCATCTGATGGACTCATCGGTGGCATAGCGGTTAAGACGCCCGCCTACCATGCACATGGTCCGGGGTTCGATCGCCGGCAGACGCATTCCTTTACCTCGCTATGCCAGAAATAATGCTGGTGAAGAGGTAAGGTTGGGTGTGAGGCTAGCAACCCCATCCTGTAAAATAAATAAAAATCAAGCCTCTACCTTTTTAACCAAGTCCCTATCCGGGAAGAGATCAACACAAGTGAAACCTATAAAAGACAGCCAAGGGAACCCAATTACCAAGGAAGAAAGACAGATTAAATAATGGGCGGACTACTTCAAAGGACTCTTGAGCCGACCACCACCTAAAAACCGTCCAGAAATACCAACAACAGCATGTACACAACTGCAAGTTGACACCAATCCTCCAACGAAAGCTGAAGTCTTGAATGCAATCAAGCTTCTGAAAGCTGTGAAGGCAGCCGGACCAGATGGAATACCCTCTGGAGCACTGAAAGCGGACCCAGAAACGACGGCAGATATGCTGATTCCATTACTGCAAAAAGTCTGGAAGGAGGGAAAGGTGCCTACTGACTGGAGGAAAGTTTACCTCGTGAAACTACCAAAGAAGGGTGACTTAGGACTCTGCAAGAACTGGCGAGGAATCATGCTCCTGTCGACGCCAAGTAAAATTCTGAGTCGCATCATCCTGGAGAGAATAAAGGACGCACTGGATACAGAACTCTGACCAGAACAAGCTGGATTCAGGAAAGGCAAATCATGTTCTGACCAAATTGCAACTCTACGCATTATCATTGAACAAAGCATGGAATGGCAATCAAACCTCTACCTCAACTTTATAGACTTTGAGAAGGCCTTCGACAGCGTTGACCGCGAAGTAATTTGGAAACTACTCGAGTACTACGGCGTACCCCAAATATTCATCAACCTTATTCAACAGCTGTACGACAACGGCACATGTCAAGTGATCCAAAACGGAAATGGAGTAAACACAAAGTCAGACAAGGGTGCTTATAATCACCAATGATATTCCTAATTGTGGTGGACTGGATTATGCGTCAGACAGTGGGAAACGAGAAAACAGGGATATCCTGGACCGACGTGAAGAATCTAGAAGACCTGGATTTCGCGGATGATTTATGTTTGATGTCACACAAAATCGAAGACTTACAAGCGAAAACCGACAAACTGGTTAAAGAAGCAGCAAAGACAGGACTCCAAGTGAACATAGACAAGACGGAGGTTATGAAAATAACCAACAACAGCAGCAGCAGCAACATCCAATGCCAATCACCATCAACGGGATCACTTATCTAGGCGGCAATGTCTCAACTACAGGAGGAACGGACGACACTGTCAAATCGAGAATCGGGAAGGCAAGAAACACGTTCATCAGCCTGAAACCAATCTGGAAATCTTCGTCACTCAACTCAGAATCAACAACAAAATTCGGATTTTCAATACAAACGTCAAGTCAGTTTTGCTATACGGATCAGAAAGTTGGCGGGTCACCAAGAATATTTCCAACAGGTTGCAGACCTTTATCAACAACTGTCTTCGTTCTTTACTGAAGATCAGATGTCCGGAAAGAATCACCAACAAGGGAAGCGTCGAGTGGGACGTGCAAGGGTGACATGGAGGAGATCGTTTGAAGAAGAGTTGAAACAGTATGGACTAACATGGATGCAAATGAAAAGTACAGCAGAAGACAGAAGCAAGTTGGGACGTGTAGTTGAAGTCCTATGTTCCACTAGGAACCCAAAGGAACAATAATAATAATACATCAGATGGACTCATTCACAAACTAGCTAAATAGCCGTTAGCTGATTAGATCACCTCGAACTAGTTAGTAAGCAACAATGGTTGATTTCAGCTGTATCCATATACTTATAATAATCAAAGGAAGTAGAACCGAGAATATATGTGCTCCTTTGGTCATTCAGTGGTAGAATGTCAAATAAGCGCACATATGGTCCAGGTTCGACTTCAAGCCACCCTCGCTTACCAGCAGTCACCTTGATAAAGAAGAACGTTTGAACTGTGAGGCTAGCAACCTCACCCCATGAAAATTAACACCACTGCTACTGAAACTTCAAAGTTCAAACTTTGAAGCCCTATGCTACACTTGGTACACAAAGGACTGAAAAAATAACAATGACAATATATGAGACTCAAATTATGGGGAATTTGAAACCAAGCGTATTTCTCAACCATTTCTAAACATTAACTTATATTAAGCTCGGAGATGAAGTTAAGCACTTTAATGAAGTGGTTTTCTGTACTAATTCATCGAGTTTTAAATGTGCCGCTTAACAAAATAAACAATCTCAACAAAATTCATACTGGGATTTAATATTGAACTCATTAGTCAGTGTTATTTAAACACTTCACTCGATTCTTCAAAGTTGACAATTTAATTGACAACATCACACAATATAATGGTTAAGGATAGATGAAAGTGAGTGTATTTATGTATATTTCACAGAACAGAAAAAACATCTTTAGACTACGATCAGAAAATAGTATATAAAACACACATGATTATGCATACATCCATCGTACAATGAATGCACATATCATGATTGAAATCATTCCCATTATAAAGTTGAAGACATTAAAGACAAGAAAAACTTCCACCGTATAAGATATAACAATGTAATACTTTAAAAGACAATGAAATAGTTGAATAATTCTCATTAACAAACAGAATAAATCATAGATTGCTTTAAAAAGGATTCCCCGTCTATCACATCACCACATTTTAGAAATATGAATGAATATTTTAATAAACATTTTTACAAACAAAAAGAAAAGATTGGTATAGTTTTCACAGTTTGTTTTCTTTGACGCAGTAATCGATTTCTTCGAAATTGAATCAAGTCTGGAAAATGGACAAGTTTTTTCTCTTTTTTTTCTGGCAGACTGATTTGGTTATAAGAGATTTCATAATTGTAGAAATTTATAAGACAATGTTGACTAAGAAGATCTCATAGTAGATGCAATTTTTAAGATATACATTCATTCAGTTAGGAATGAAACTAGGAGAGATAATCACTAGACGTTGATAAAGAACAGAATATTTCTGAGTCATGTTGATGACATACGGATAATGATAGTGTGCATAGAAGAGACTCACAACAACAAAAAGTGTATTAAATACATAGAATTATATGTTTAATTCTTTAGTGTAATCCTAGAAATAGAGGCTTTAATGACTAAAGATTAAAGAAGGTGAGCTTACTACAAGTAGACTTGTTTAATTCCTCTGAAATTATGACAATTGTGTTGAAAAATAAGAAAGAAATACAACACAGAATGTTATAGTTTAGCTTGTAGATAAAAGAAGTTTGAATATCTCAATACACCTTTGATGCATGCTTGTTTATGCTGAAGATGAATTTAACCTTAGCAATTTAAGTGATTATTTATGTGTGTGTATATATATAGAAAAGAAGTAGTTTATGCATTCTATAAGGTTTGACTCAGCTTTCCCTCCCCTCCGGCACTTTTTCTCTTCGTGTCAATCAACTACATGTCAACTACATGATATAATCCTCTTTACTTTTTTTACAATTATGATGTATGCACAATTTGCGTGTCATTTTCATTGAAATTTACATCATCTTTCCATTGAACAATTTTACCATTTTCATCTGAAGTTTCATTTCTACTTACACTAGTTGATTTGACTGCTGGTGCTGTTGATGTTGTATGCTTTTTCCGTTGAGCTTTACTTGCTCGTCGACTAGACAAGTGTTCTTGTTCTTCAGCGATAGTTTCAAATTTTGCACGTTGATAAATATCTCTTGATCGTAATAAATTTAAAGCTATAATGTCACATACTGTTGGCGCCTGAAAAGAAAGAAAAAAATGTAATGAAATGATGTGAAGCAGGTTATAAAATAGCTTTTCTATAAAGCTTCTTTAGGGATAGATTTCATTCTTATATTTCATGGAATATTTTAACAATGGATTTTGGTTACAATTTTAGATCACTGGATAGATAGACTCTTCTACGTTGAAGCTCTTTTAGCAGTACACCTCTTACGATCTCATCATTTTTTATATCGAGCAAAACATATACTCGAATCTGAATAATTCCGGTTTCCGGATGAACTAAAGTGAAATCTAACCTAGAAAGATGTTAATTGCAAATCGAGAATTCAAATTATGATGTCACCAGTACGCCTAATTATTATTTATTATTATTATTATACCCTTTAATTCCTAGAGGAACATAGGGCTTCAGCCGTGCGTCTCCATTGAGTTCGGTTCTCTGCTAGAGTCTTCACCTGGCTCCAAGTCTGCCAACACGTTTTTATCTCCTCTTCACATGACCTCCTCCAAGTCACCCTTGCACTGACGACCAACTCGCCGCTTCCCATTCAGTCGGGTTCCACTCGAGCAATGGCTTGTCTAGTGATGTCACTTGATGGTTTCCTCAGAGTATGGTCAATCCATCTCCATTTCTTCCTAACCATTTGTTTCACAATCGGTTCCTGGTTGGTTCGCTCATTGCCAGAGATCCCTGTTGCTGATCTTTTCTGGCCGGCCATCTGATCTTGAGTATTGAGCGAAGACAACTGTTAATGAAGATCTGTAGTTTGTTTGAGATGCTCTTCATGACGCACAGTGCAAGTCTCTGATCCGTATAGTAGCACTGACTTCACATTGGAGTTGAAAATCTGGATATTATTTTTGATGCTACGCCTAATTAGACACCCAGAATACTGATGGCTCTTTGAGCTACGTCGAACCGGGTTCACTATTGATACGTTCAGCCCCAAACGACTAAAGTAGACGTCTGGTGTTTAGAATACTTCGATCTGGTTAGAAAGCCCTCATGATTGATGTGAGTGCTCTCCGATTAATCGTCTTAATGATTCATTTATGTTTTCATTCTTGGTTACCATTTACGGCGCCATGGATGATGTGAATTATATATATATTTTTTAAGGCAACTGTGATTAAACTTCATCTTGAACTGTGTAGACTGGAAACTGTAAATTTATTTCACTTTCATGTAGGATTGAACTCAGGTTCATCAGGTCATGAGATGAACACATTGATTCTCTGAGAAGCATTACGTAAGTGACAGTTCTATTACCCACAGAATCTAGAGGAAACGCATTTCAGGCAAACGTTATTATGAATTCCATTAACTTTATAAAACTGTAGGTAGTTATATTGATCTCATATAGATAGATTAAAGTTGCAGAAACATAGATACATTTTGATTATTGTACTTTGATTATGTGAAACGGCTTAGTAAAAGGTAGGCCGTATCACACAGCAGAAGAGTCGAAGATGTTGTTTTGAGAAGTTACTTAACACGATAGAAGGAAAAATTCAAAACTGAAATGTTAATTTATTGAGACAACATGGAATACACGCAATTTAAAATAGCCAGCAAATTCTAAACAAATGTAGACAGCATTTAGATGCCACAAAAAGTGGCACTACTTACCAGACCTAACAAAGCCAAACCTGAGCCAATATTCATCGTTAGTGGGAGGAAATGAAATTTTCCTGCCTCTCCGCTTACATGGATAACAAATCGTATACCATAAGCTTTAATCAGATCTCGATAGTTTGTACCATTTTCACTGTAGAAATTTGCAAATCTGCATAAAATGAAAATAAGTGGAGCGTATGGTCAGATAATTAGTTAGATAAAAAAAGAATCTAAATTCAAAAAGGTTTCAGAATACTGATTAGTGAACTAAAAATATTTTGGAAGCTATTTTGGTTAATAGTTACTAGCAGTGGAAGCCAGGATGTGTCTTCAACCCTCCCGGGACACGTCACCTGACGTACCTGGAATACACAGTATGTGATGGTGTTTCTACTAAGGCTGGAAACCAACACCGATTCTTTCAAATACCAAAACGATATCCACTAGACCACTTGGGCCTCGAGAGCCACCTGGATTACACTGCCAGCCACCAGCCACCAAATAACATGATGCTAATCCTCAAATATTGTCGAAGAGTCACTAACAGAAGTCGATATGTCAACAGAGATAGAGCATTTTTGCTCTGATATTATCAGTCAACGGGAAGTATGAAATTAACTTGAACATGTAATGCCAAAAAGTGAAATAGGTAATCTTATTTTTTTAGAAGTTTTGTAATCATCGTAGTTTACGGTGTAGTCAAAGCTCAGTAATCTAGCTAATAAACTTACAGTCAACTAGGCTCAGTAACATGTAACTGAATATATCTGCTTAATAACATTTCACTTCACAGACTCATTCTGCAGTCAAGACCTTGTGATAATCTCCAACATTTTACCCATATTCCTTTTAAGGTAATTTAATAGAAACTTGCAAAGTATTTTTCAATTTATTCGAAAAGTATTTAAGTGTATCAGGTAATTAGTCAAACAGCTGAAAAGGAGTATGACTATTAACATCAAGGCAGAGAGAGAGAATGGGATAGAATGTTACACAAGTACGTATGTGAATGGGTGAGTAACCTAGGGTAAATTATATTGAAAGCTAATAAATAGTGAAAAGGAGGAATATGTACAAATAAGATAAAAATTTACACTTAAAAGGTATGGCACAAATTTTTAGATTTCAAAACATGCCAGTGAAAAGTAACTTTTGGATGTGTTTCTGACAGTTTCAAGAGAATTGCTGTGGCTTCCACACGTTGGAACATTTGGTACTTGGTAGTTATTTGCATTTTATTAATTCATAGAAGACGATAGAAAAGGATTCTTCAGTAGTGTCTTTGTGGCACGTTTGAATCAAGTGTGCTAATCAGTAATGCTTTTTATCAGACATTTAATTAACCACATTGGTAGGTGTACCCAAGAACGAAAAATCAAGTTCCTAGACGAAAGAAATATGTCAGTGGCTTCACTGGATCAATAACACAGGAAAAGGTAGAGAACCTAAGCGCTTCATATTTCAGATTCTGCATCACAACAAGGGGGGTGTAAAAGAAATTACAGCTGTGATTTACCAGCACTGAATGTTCTCTAAGTAAATTTCCTTAGCTTGACAATTACTAATTTACTCAGTATATCACCTCTAAATTGTAACCCTATATAGAATGGCTCCTTATTTTCAAAGGCGACATATTTCTTGTAGAATTTCTTAGCTGCAAGATTTTTGTGTGAAATTCTCGAAAAAACTATTTTGAATTGTAGTATTTTTCGCGATTGTTACTTCATTCTCAATCACACAGATCTCACTCTATAGCTTCGTCTTATTTTGAGGGCGCTGTGGAGATGTGCGCATTGCTCCTTCTATATACTTTTTCTCTTTATGCTACCATCTGATCTTGTTATATGATGACGATTGTTGGTTATTGGCCAAAACACTGACACACACATGCATAACCTTCTACTCCGTTTTCTCTCATTGCTCCTGATGTAAGCATTCATTCATATGAAATCGATATCCATAGTGGATAAAACTCAACTATTGCTTTGCTGGGATTTGACTGGTTTTAGGTTAAGTTTCTATCAGAACTCGTTCACCATTCAGCTACTGGGATAGAATTCACTGATGACTGAGAAAAGGACGAAAATACCTGGGGTTCTAGTGAGAATTCTAAACCAGCGGCGGCCGCTAGGTAGGATTTAAGGACAGATATTTGCCAATGACGCTGCTCAGAAATGGTCCTTTAAATCAAGGACTGACCACTCACCAAATGACATTATTTAGCACTAAGTTCTGTTGAAAAATCTTATATTTAATATAGTGAAATAAATGAAGTCATTCTTGTGAATACATAATAAAGGTAAATAAATAAATTAACTGTTATCTTTTTAATAAGATTTCACGATAATTTGTTTCGCATAAACATGCACACACATAAAATCTGTCTGGAAGGGTATATAAAACAGAGTTAGGTGAATCCCATTTCATAAGAGTTTTCATGAAAGACACCAAGGCATACTTCATGAAACACGCATTAGAACATCTATTCAATGGGCGTTTACAAATTGAATGCATCAATTCATACAGGAAATATTCAAAACAAACAAATTGAAAAAAGGAAATTATCTTTTGACTTTTTTGCATACCTTAACATGACAAATGGTGTGAACAGTTTTTGGGTCAGATAAATTTAGAGTGTTATTAACGTAGTTATTGTAGGGAAAATTAAAAAACTGAAAAAAAGTTTCAACATTTATCTAATAAAAATGAGAAGTTAGTGACCCTTTACCATGTTATTTAGAAAACATAAAATCTAACAAATTACTGTGATATTATGAATAGTGTTAAACTTGTTTCTACTAATAGCACTGCCTTCACTGCATAACCAACCCTTCCCGCAATCTAGGTGTAGATTTAATGTCATCATTGCATAGTTTTTAATTTATTTAGTACCAGCCGGACTATATTAGTTTTACCTCAAACTTTACCTCTAACTTTCAGATAAATTTATGTACTTTATATTCCATCAGGTTCTTAATGTAATACATGGCTTTAACAGAGAATCACCGATTCTTTCCACTCATGTAGTGCTTTCTAGCTGGCTTCATGATTGCCTGTAATCCTTAATTACTTCCTCATACGATATCCCCTATGTCACCCTTGCAACAACGCCCATTTTGTTTCCACTCGAAACATGGCCTGGTACACAGTGTCACTTAACTTTCCCCTAAAAATATGTCCAGTCCGTCTCCATTTTCACCTGCATAAAAGTTGAATGATAGGCTGTTGCTTGGTTCGTTCCTAGTGCTTGCTGCTGCTTATCCTTTCGAGACATCTGCTATACAGCACACAGCGAAGTTAGGTATCGATAGAAGTCTGCATGGGCTTGTTGGATATGCTTCCGCTGATGGGTCAAGTTTATGAAAAATATAGAAGCAGTGACTTGACACTAGTGCTGAAAACCAAGATGTTGAACTTCAGGCAACCTGTTTACAGCATATTGAGTGTTTAGTCATTATTCACTGAACAGGGATAGATAATAAAAGTACCATCAAGTTGTGCTGATAAAAGACAGTGGATTCTTTCAGTCGTTATTTAAATTCCTGCTATTTGACGTCAAATATTGTTCAGACTTTCTAGTTTGCCTCTTATTAGTCGTCAATTTCGCATGTTGAGTAGAATGCAGGTCCTGAGAAGCACATTTCCACTGCACATGGTCTGTTGCCATACAAACTCCAGCTAGATCTATGCCTGATTACAAGGTTTTACTTTCTCCTTGTTCTTTCTCGCCCATGTCAACTTTGGACGCCTGACTTGTCGCTTCTTATTCAATCTTGATTCGACCGCCTGGCCTGTTGAATCTCTTGAAGTTCTCCTGATCGTATATGCAATCTGCCTCTATTTCCTTTCATATATTTGTTAAGTAATTGGTAAATAGTTTATTCTCTTTGCTTTTGGATTCCCTTGTTGCTTATGCTTTCTGATTCATTAGTCCTCAGTATGGAGGTTCTGAAGCAGCCTGTAGGAAAGGATTTTGATGACATTGCAAATCAGTAAACTGTATAGGTGTACTGTCCATACTTTTCAGGAGGTTAATTTTTAGTTCTGGTTTTCAAGATTTAAACAGTGTAGCCTATATTCCCCTTAGAAATGTTATTAGACTTCAAAATGATGAGTAGTGTTAAAAGCCTGCTAAAAAATTCTTATAGTAATAAAGGGCCGCCTAACTTCCTTGGAGGGATGTAGGAGCAAACAACGACGCGTACTTCAAATAACTGTACAGTTTTTATTTTGAAATAGGTACTGAAATGGATATTACTTACAAATAATTATTATCCTACAAGGTTTGCTAAGCACATAGACATGCTGCGTAGAAATATATAGTTCTGTGTAGGCGATGGTCCACCGCAGTTTACAGAATTACACAAATTAACTACTTTTTATCGAGTTTCATTGAAAAATATACCCAAGGTGAAAATAAGCTATGATTGAAGATGTTACATATATTCAGATAGCCCATACTATCACACCGATTTTATGTTACATTTACTTAACATATGTGTAAGGAGATCCCTGGTGAAGTTATAGATACACGTTGATGATAGGTCCTAAACAAGGGCGAAACAGCTCTTCAGTAATCCCTGGTTTTCAATAAATCTTCAGATAAAAACATTTTGTGATTAAGCTTGAAGCCGTTACCTCAACCGTTTTGAAAAGGTCGATAAGAAATAGCTTTCAGCTGACCTTATTTCAATATTCACACCGAAAATAATGTTCAACATATTTTGGTCAAAGAATACATTTTATGTATAGGCATACGTATTGAAAAGTGAATAAAGTTTATCAAACATAAGAATATCTTGTAATCGTATGTGTAAAGTACAAAAAATGGATACAGTGGGTGAATAATTTACTTAAAATTAAGGTTAATTAGACAAAGAAAAGAACTTTTAAGCCAACAAGAAATTCCGTTCACATATGCTCTGTTTAGACAGAAATATGGGTAAAACAAATACACAAAATTTATAAATTCATTCCAAACACAGTCGTGATTTTCTGATTTCTCAAAATTTTCAAACAATGATATGACTGAAAAACGCTGAAATGTTCCGCCTGTGATAAGAATTGACACTTATATGACCTAATACTTTTCTCAATTTCATTAGTTCACTCGTTATAAGTCGATTTAAAATGCTAAGTAGTTCAGTTAGTGTCTAAACGATGTATATC